GTGTTGTGTGTGTGTGTGTGTTGTATATATATATATATATATATATATATATATATATATATATATATATATACTTACATACGTACATACATAAATTTATACATATGTATAATATATATATATATATATATATATATAATACGATGCGCAGTATATTTTGATCATCTAGCTGATCATGTAAAGATACTCGAATTACTTACTTGATTATGTACGGGCAAGTAGTAAAATTGTTTGACGTGAGCCGGAAAGTGAGGTACACAGTCAATGCAGCAGGTACCACAATCATGTAACAGTGCGTGTTCAAGTCGAACCCAGACAAAAGTTGTGTAATTGACTCCATGCTTGCTTTCACTATCTAGTCCGAAACTCCGCACTATTTATCGTTGACGTTAATATGATATAGATAGGTTTCAAGCACTCCTTTTCATATGCACACAAAAAAAAACCCCCTATAGGCTATGGGCCATGTACCATATGTTTGTGATTTGTAAATGATGTCGTCACTTGTGCCGTGTACTCTACTTTCTTGTATAAGTGTTCAACATAGTATACTGCGTAGCCATTTGTGGACAACGAATAAGTCATTACGATTCAGCTCCCGTGAGTCCCAAGTCCCAACAGTCCCAAGTCCCACACTCACAGTCTCACACAGTCTCACACGTCTCATAGTCACAGTCTCCTCGCAATACGTATAAACTAAAAATATAAAGAAGTGAGAGAGACTGAGAGACTGAGAGACAGCTGAGTCACTGAGAGAGAAAGTCACGAGCGAGGGACAGTTTAAAAAATAAATAAACATGGAATGAAAAATATACGGGTGACGGACTGACGAAGCGTGCAATTTACTGGCCCGTTATCAGATTATGTGAGTACTCTGTATTTAATATCCAATAAAAATATATAAAATGTTATACGTCATGCGTTGTCATCACCAGAGATTGCATCATGACAGTAATGGCACCCCCACACCAAATTCCTGGAACCTCGACATAGGCTCCCGAGTCCTGACTCCTCTGAGTGTCAGTGAGTGTCCTGGACCCTTGGCCTGTAGGCTTTGGGGCTTTGGGGTTTTAGGGCTTTGAGGCTTTGGGGCTTTAGGGCTTTGGGGCTTTAGAGATTAGGCTTTGGGGTGTCTTTGGCCCTGGCACCTGCGCCCTGGGTCATGAGGACTGGGGCTTTTTTTTCTCGAATGCACTCTGGACACTGGTGGACTGGTTGTAGAGTTTTCAGAGTAGTGTGCATTAAATTTTAAAAATGGGATTAGATAAAGATATCACTATACATTCTTGGCCCATAGCCCACGCACTGAGCGCCGATCTATTCTACTGTGTGGTACAGACTCACTATCTACCAGGCGATTGTACATACTGCGGATCTACACAAGTGATGAGCATTATCTTGACATCAAGCCAGACTTTTCAGCATACATAAACACAGTCTGCTAAAGTGTATCAATTAAAATATAACATACACATACACACGTGTACGCAAAGTTTGAGAATGGTCTGTCCAGTCCGAGTCGCCGCAGCTGCGCTAGTTACCTTTGTGTGCGCCATCGTAGTGGTTCGAAAGTACAACACAGACGACAACAAACCGCTTACACAGGCAGAAGAAGAGAGGAAAGCGTCCCAAGAGATCGACAGTACCTTTGGCAGATTCATATCTTTTATACTGGATGCCAAGAAGATTCTGGAGACGTACAGGTACGCCGTACTACCCTTGATTGTGCTTTTCCATGTCGAGTTAATCTCGCAAGGTGCGATATGCCGGTATCTCTTCGTTAAGAGCGATGCCGATGAAGTGAACCACCGGACTACACTTGACAGCACAAATGTAAATACGTTTGCTTTCTGCAACAGTTCGAGTGTATTGTCGCCCCAATTGACGGTGTACATACTGAGCCCGATAAGCGTATGAGAGGACTACTCGGAAAAGAACAAAGTCCTTACGAGGCAAAATTATTAGTAACACATACTCGGAGATTGTAGAGAGCCACAACACGACACAAGCGAGAAATACATCTCTGGAAACAACAGTTCAAACGAACCTATGTTATTAGCGAAGAATAAACATGTATATATCTCTTTTTACCTACCATGGCCTGTTTATGATTTTGAAGGGCCGCAGGTATTTTATCAACTTGCGCAATAACGAGGTCGTACATCACTGGTTGTCTAATCACAATTACAGTAGCGAGAGATCACGCGTGTGCTGATTTAATATAAAACGCAGTATATCTAACGGTCTACATCTAGCGACGTTCAACCTCGCGCTTGGTCACGTGGTCTAAGGTTTATTGTGTGATGTCGGGATTGTCTGCTACCCACATACAATGCGGGGTATGAAGCTATTTGCGCCGTTTGTGACAGTTCATTTGCGCAAAACAGAAGTATTACTTGACATCAAACATTCATTGCGGAGGATGAAGCTATTTGCGTTGTCTGTGACAGTTCATTTGGGTAAAACAGAAGTATTGCTCGACATCAAACATTCAATGCGGAGTATGAAGCTATTTGCGCAGTTTGTGACAGTTCATTTGGGTAAAACAGAAGTATAACTTTTGACATCTTCTTTATGACGTATTCAATCCCGTATGTTTGTTATTAATCTTACTCCGCAGGGCAGACATGGTCACCAGTATCGCTTCCTACGATCAAAAGAAAACATGCAGAAACGATCAGAATAGTTGGAAAACCATTGCTAAAAAAAGCAGAAACAATCAGAACGGGTTGGAAACTATTGTGCCGTTGCAGGCTCTGAAAAAGTGATATACTCGAATGTCCAGACGAAAACTGTTGCTACTCATGAAGCCCTTCAACCAAGTTAACATCGAGGAGATATCAAAATGCCTACAGACCATTAAGTGACATGGTTCAGGCTATTGTGGAGCCTTGTTACTGGGATGATACACAATGTCGAATCAAAGCCGATTTCAGAACGCAGAAAATGAAATTGCTTCAGAATCTGTAACCGGATTAGGAATCGCACTCCTATTTGTGTTAGGGAGTGCGATCCCCCGCGTACTCAACCGCTCACTGGTTGCAAATACCTGTCCTAGAGTTAAACACACACCAATAGACCGACAAAACATACAAGCAAACTTACAGACTCAAACAGATTCAAACACACTTTCCAAGGGTCTGACTACATGTGTGCATAAAAAGACCTCCATGTGTCTCCTTCAACGCGGGTCTACATATCTATATACATGTGTATGTTGTTTACCTACATATCTATTTACTTACATATCTATATACATGCGTAAGTGTTTACCTCAGTGCGTATCGTGCGACTCCCTTGATTGGGACAAGTGTTGACGTAGTAGTCGAATAGATCAGGTGCTTCGGCTGAACCCAGTGAGTGATCCACATCCAACGCAGACTCGAGACCAGCCAAACCACCGAACACAATCAGAATGTGACTGCAGAATTAAATTAAAGTGGCGGTAAAATCGGGAATACAATGAGAATGTGCGCTGCAAAACCTGAATACAGGTATAAAATCAGGATTTGGCTGCTTTCCACTTCTCCTAGTAATCTGGCTGCTTTTCACTTCTCCTAGTAATTAACGCATGGACGTGAGCTCATGCACCAGACACAGGCCACATCAGGCCATTCAGACTCTCTCACATACTTTGCCTGCGGTAATTCCAGCTCGTGTATGTTCTCGCCATTCTCCGATGTTCCCACCGTCAGGTCATAGCCTTCTTTATAGGGGCACTCACTCCATATGTCCGCCATAGTGTTAGCTATGCGTGTGGTGTAGCCCCAATACAACCCAGCCTCTTCTCGCGGCGCCGAAGGTTTGACTACCGTGCCCTGTATTGACCATACAAAGTAAAACCCCAGAGCGTGTTAATAAGGGAGTGCTATCCGAGCTCCGGTCCAAGCATACCAATTCGGGTTGAAACTCGGACTACGTGCTACGGATAAGAAGGCTATCCTGTAGGCCAGTGTACAAATTCATTCTTAGCTAAGGCACACTTAGTTGAGATGCGCAAATTGCCACCATCCCATCTCCAATGCATTAAGATCGAGTATCTGTGAGGGCACACACATGAGCGACACTCTCGACTCTCTAACGCCAATGCGTACGTGTAACTAGGTATAATCTGGCGAGGAAGGTAGGTAGACATAGTCTGGAAGGAAGGTAGGTATAATCTGGCGAGGAAGATAGGTAGATATAGTCTGGAAGGAAGGTAGGTGGGTATAATCTGGTGAGGAAGGTAGGTATAATCTGGAAGGAAGGTAGGTAAGTATAATCTGGCGATTAAGTAAGTACAAAGATCGAGTGTGTCTGTGTGGGTACACACATGAACGACACTACGCTAATGCGAACGTGTAACTGGTATTGAATCTGCCACGCGACCATCGCTTTCAATGGAGAAACACCATGAATTTCTAACCGGCACATATAGGTGATTAGATGTACCCTACTCAGGATTACATACGGGAAATCACACAACATGCCATTCACAGATCTATATATCGCAATGATTTGTAAATGAATTTGAACCGTTTGTACCTTGGGATGTTTTCCAGGCTTAGCACCGTGAGGGTCTTGCATCTTTACGGTCACACGCACTCCCGGCTGAATATGGCGATCGATCTTGACTTGCTGTTGAGGACAAATGTGATACATGAAGAACGAATGGGATACTGAGTAGAACTCTCTCAGGTTGTCCATGTGGATAGGATGCTATCCGTGACAACTGTTATTTTCTATAGTATTGTATCATGTAATTGACGCTGGACGTAAAGTCTGGGAGATTGTATGCGGTAAGTACGAGGGCAGAGATCCCAAAGTCAGATGTAGAGCTCCAGTACGGAGTGACTATAGGAGTATCCACAGACCCCAAACCAACTGCACAGCCACGAAGACGACATGTACAGTGCAGCATGCGAAAGAAGTGCAATCTGGCCCATATCAGAGCTTGTTCAGGAGCACTTGCTCTAGTCAACAGGACGTGTGCACCACGGATGGACTGCACCCGAGGTCATCTTTGCACCTCATAAAATACGGGTCAGCCCTAGTCTTTTTTTTATCGGGTGACAGACCGTCAGGACCAGGGGTGCACCAACAACTGCACGAGCAATACATGAGCATATACAAGGCATTCTATACAGGACCACACGCAGACCAGTGCTTACCTGCCACATTCCACAGTCCACCAGTGAGCCCTGTCCCTTTTTTACGGGACGGGCCAATGTCACGCCCTCTCTATAGTGGGCCACTGCATCTTTACGCATATGGTGAGGTGCATCTAACGGGTTCAGTAGACCTGAATATTTGGAGTTGGCAAGTACCGAACGTCAGTGTGTGAAGAGCTGATACGGGCAGCACCCCTGGATAGATAAAACAGTGTGCTTAGGTGACTCCAACGGGGTCAGTGTATACAATAACCCCATGAAAACCACAAACCCAATTGTAAAACCGTACAAGACGTTCAGTACAGATTTTTGAGTCCTGGTAGACCCACCCCGGCCCACACAACTGCTGTTGCTCGCCAAGTGTACCATAGAGACACACATTCAAAACAGTATACGACGTCATAGGCAACTGTCACAGTCTCTGTGAAGAGCCGTAGCAGCACACACCGGCCCTATTTGCCATTCGGAATATCATAATGAGATGCCGATGTCGCATTAAGACTCTGTGCATACGAGACTCTTGAGTGTTTGTATAGAGTCCCACCAGCACATGGATTCCTACTACTCGCCCATACTCACCCAATACCAACAAAGTCAGATTACAATGCTACATATAGCGAGCACGCACGACGCTCTCCAGTATCTGTAGTCTTACCGGCATACGTTAAGTCCCTATGCACGGGGAAAAAGGCCTTCCGCAAGTACTGTGGTGTTTCGAGATATTGTAGCACTCGCGCTAAAAATAGATTTGGATCGGTTTTTATCGTTGCACCCTCGAATTGGCCTGTGATTTCCTTGCCCTTCTTCTTAGTTGGTTCACCTACAAAAATATCCCCAAATTCACAGAGTTTCGTGAGAAAAATAAACCCCGAAAGACGCATGAAAAATCATTCACAGGGTACTTCAGAAGCTCAGAGATGCATACGCAATAAAAAAAACTTCAAAGCCTTCATGTAACACTATCAGCAAGTTGCTACAAACTATGCGTGGATAGGCCCTTGTGAAATATTCACACCGTAAGTGACTAGGCACACACAGGGCATGGAAATATCACACAAAAATACACCACAGATATATATTATTTTCTATGCAAGTGCGTACATGTGCATATATCAGTGTGTACTCAATGTATACGATTGCTTGAAACTTTGTAAGTTTGCTTCAGATGAGTGGATATGGGTTCAGGAGAGTTTGATCTAGACAAGTAAGTATCCATAGCAAGGTACCAATAAACGACACATACGAGTGTATTCCATGCATACCAAATACAACTAACACACAACCCTATAGATACCTACACACAGCCCCATAGACACCTACGCACATACATACCTTACCTATACATACAACATAGCACGGTATGCTTTCCACAGGCATAAGCCTACACAGTCACTACAACATTCCCACCTTCATCCTGCTACAATAAATGTATATACATACGGCACACTAAATGTTGTATATACATACAGCACACCATCGTACAGACACTAGTGTACCCGCAGTCACTCGAGTCACCCGAGCACAATACCTGCATCCTGCTTTAAGTCCTCATTGAAGATGACCACCTCATCGATCTCAAACACAGTCACCGCCCGTGCCACCTGACCCGCCAGATATGTTTTTAATTCCGGTGACTGCGCATTTGCGACAATAGACCCCGGCAGCGCGATGGACACTGTGTATGCTCTGCCCTTGCCCGTCCCTGATGATATCGTGTTCTGTCGTAATTGAGGGGCGAATGTGTCGTAAATTGCACTTGTATGAAATGCCCAGCACTGCGGTCTAATATGATTTCAGGTCGAATCTCCGCACTTCGTGAACACTCGACTATAGTTCAAATCAGCTAACAGGGGGTACATACATATGACAAACTCGACAGAACCCATATATACGTAAAACATAACCCATACATATGTAAAACATAACCCATATACACAACTACTACAAATAAATGAATGCTACAGCTTCTACTTAGAAATATA